TGGGAAATTTGCTGAGGGAGGCCCGAGCTGCGGCTGGCAGGGGAAGCGGGTGTGGAGCAGGCGGTGCTCCTCGCGTCTGCTCCAAGAGGCACGCTTGGCAGCCAGAGGAATGCAGCGGGGCTCTCCTCCAAATCGTTTCTCTGCACCTTCCAGTAAAGACACCCCTCTCTCCAAAGCTATCAAGTCCCGAAGGAAAAGAGAAAAAACCGCAAAAAAGCAGCATGTGGGTCTTGCCAGCTCCAGCTGTGAAGCCTGCAGCACGCCCCGAAGCTGGGAGGGGTAGGGAAGGTCCCGTTCTGCTGCCTGCGGGGATGAGAGCTGCATCTTCATCGGGTGCCTCCTGCCCTCTCCGGCAGCATCTGGCCCAAGGCTGCCCCCAGGGAGCCCAGCCCAGCGCAGCTCGGCGACACCAGCCCCCCGCCAGGCCCCCCAAACCGTCTTCAAACGTCACCTGCCTGTCCCTGGGAAGCGGCCTCCGCGGAGAGGTTTTTCTGCAAGAAGAGAGGGCTTTTCTCCAGCCCAAGGGGTGCATGGGAGACCAGCGGGCTGTAAATCAGCCTCACTTTGAAGCTGCTACTTGAGGTGCTTCTGTTAACACCTATGCACAAAACAAGGCAGTGGAGATACCAGCATTTCCACTGTAACTCTCCCAGTTAGACACAAAACTCTGAACGAGATGCTGCGCTGCCCACGGAGGCTCAGGGACGTCCTCGGGCCCTGCCAGGCACCCGAGCAGTTTGCCTCAGCTCCGTGCCCGCCTGGGAAAGCAGAGCTGCTCTGGGATCCCTGCCCGCAGGGCTTGCGGGAAGAGCCGAAGGAAAGGTTGTGGCTGTATCGGCTGCTCCGTCCCGCTCTGCTGAGCAGCGCTGCCGGTGAGGGGGCATGTGTCACCCCACCCGAGGAAAGGGCAGCCAGCAGCAGCCTGCCTGCCCGCCTGCGCCTTCCTGCCTGCACCTTCCTGCCTGCCTTTGTTATTCAGGAAACAGCAAAGTTTCCACCGAGAAGCTCAAAGTTACCAAAGTTACCTTTTTTTTTTTTTTATTTTACATCAGAAGAGCAACCTGCTGTAGTTTCAACTCAGTGAAATCCCCTTGCTAACAGAGTTCAGATTAATGCCTTGAACCAGGCTGCTTTTCTACCTGAGGCCGCGCAGGAGGCATCCGTACCTGCCACAACCATCAGGCTCAGACCAGCCCGTCCCTCTGCCTCTCTGCCACCCACGCTTGCTGTCCCATTTTGCCCTGTATTGCCCCAGTAACCAACCGAGCACCAAAACCTCCCACGCAGGAGCTGCCCCAGCAGCTGAGCCCTGCGATAGCGGGTCTGCGCCTGCTCAGCTGGCGCCGCCGAGGGCGACTTGCTTTATCATGCTCTGACATCCCTCCCCCGTGCTGCAGGGATCAGGCCAAGCAGATGGTGACGGCAGAAGTGAACGCACGTACAGAGGGGAGCCTGACCCGTGCTGCTCTACGCACCCACGCTGCCAGGCTCGGACTGGAACAACATGAGATTTCCAGCAAAACCAGCCAGCAAAAAGCGGGGTTGAGCTGCCAGGGTTGCTCTTGGCTTTCCACGGAAACACACCCTCGGCTCCCTGCCCGCTCCCGCACGCTCCTGCCACCCCCGGGCAGGGCAGCAGCTGGGGACGTCGCTCACAGCGCCCAAAGCCGTTCTGGGACCGAGCCCCTGGGTCTGCCTGGGCTGAGCCGGGGAGCCGCAGCGGAGGGGCTGCAGAGCTCGGCACCGGGACGCCTAAATAGGATTAAGGGCAGGTATGCATCGCTCCAGCTTTCTTTTTCAGACCGCTTACTAGAAACATTCACATTCCCAAACATTACTGCATGGTTTTACTTCCTTTTTTTTTTTTTTTTTTTTTTTTAAACCAAGTTAAATTTACATAGGAGGCCATTTAGAAAATAAATGACTAAGAGTGCTGATAAAGGACTGATTGAACAGCAAGTCTGACCATTACCAAGATACCTCTAAAAGCTGGTACCTTCCTGGAAAAAGCATAAAATATGAAAAGCGAACAGCAGGCAGGCAGCTGAATTCCCAGGCTATCCTTTACAAACAATTACCATTTATTACTAAATGTAAATAAAAACCCAGAAAGGCACCTAAATATAAGGCAATTAGTGTTCTGTATAGGACAAAGATGGTAAGCGGCCAACAACATCAACCTGACGTTTCCAGTTTCTCTGCTGCAGTGGGACAATGCTGGGGAGCGTATTTCGCAGTTACTTCTGTGTCTGCGCGTAGTCGATGTGCTCACAGCCTGCAGCGTTCCAGAGCCGCCTTCCTCCGTCTGGAAAGCAGAAGTAGCTCCTTTACAATATGAGATCAGATACACAAACCACTCATGGCTCTTCTCTTTCATGTAGCCTGAACGGAAATATAAACTGCAAAGAATTTATGTCTGGTACAAAAAAAGTTTTTGCTAAAGCAGGTGCTTAAACTACTGAAGATATAAAGATCATCATTCAATTTAGCGTGTAAAGTACTATGATTTCCTAAAATAAATAAGCATATAACTTTGCAAGACAGGGAAGTCAGTACTTTGCTTTCAGCACAACCCTGCTGGCAGCTAGCATGGGTGTATCTGCAGGCGGACCGTGCTGCAGCCAGAAATTCCTGATAAGTGAAGGGAGCAGCTCATCCCAGCAGAGACACTTGGGTCTTTTACAGCCTGTCCTGTGGGCCTGTATTTATGGTGATTGTTGTGGCAGCAGGTCAGCGTTGCTAGCGAGCAAGGAAATGTGCGGTTGTGGAAACACCGAGTCGAACAGTTGTGACATGACCGAGCTCCGTCAGAAATTCTGCAGAAGGCCTGAGGGTTTCTGAGAAACTGCGGCTTCCCACACCCAGCCTGAAGAAAGGCTGGGCAGATCAGCAGGGAAGTGCGACTGCATTCGGGATGCTAGGAAGAAATTACTGAAAGAGAGAAAAACTCGGATGGGAGAAGCAACTATGGCAATTAGCCAACTCTTGCATAAGTAATTTTCCATTGATTTCTCGGAACATTAAAACATACGACAATTAAAAAAAATACATTCTGCGTGTGCACATGGGACAGACCTGATCTAGCTTATTCTTTGTTTTAAAGCAAAGTGTAAGAATCCTAACACGTACGACCATTGCATGGGGCACTTCAGGAACAGAACCCGGTGAAGGGTTTGCAGGCATTAAGCTTACAGAGCTATTTTTGTTTGAAAAGATAGCAGTAGATTTAGATAGGTGGGATCCCATTTAACCGCCTGTCTTGTCTACATCTGCAGTGAGGTGGCAGGAAGAGCAGCAATTCCAGTTGTCTTTGCAGCCATGCAAGGAAAGTGCAAATGCCTCCTTCCAGGGTTTCTTCCACGGGGGTCCCTTTGTCATGGTGTCACTGGAGGAGAGCAGCCCCGTCAGAAATAAACTGCTTCAAAGCTACAGAGAAATCTTTCCGTGCACTTCCCATGGGCCGTACACGCAGCCTGGGGGGAGGAAACGTTCACATGAAGGTTAGCCCAGCTGTAGTTTCAAGGAGAATTAAGCTTTCTGCCCAGATTTTTAAAAACCCACCCGGTTTGGGGGTGAATTTTAGCACTGCACTTTAGAAAGGTCCAAACCAATTCCTCCTTCAAACACTAGAGGCTGTTTTCAGGCATCGTTCCACTTTCCCCCAGCTCATCCCTCGCTCCAGCCATCCGGCACCCAGGGGCTGATTTTACAGGACCCGTGTTTTGGGGCAGGAGGGCCAAGGTCGTGAAGTACGAGGCAAAGCAGCGTTTCTCACCCGTTAGACCGTGTGTCAAGCTGCTACTTTGACACGATCTCCTGAAGAAGTGCCAAGAATGACAAAAGAATAAAAAAAAGAAAGACCAATAGGAAGAGATTTTTAACGATCTTCATTCTGAAGTTACATAGACCAAAGTAGAAACTTTTAGGCAAAAAAAAAAAAAAAAAGGACAATGTTTTCCCCTTTCCTTCTGTATTATATGATCTAGGATGCTTCTTGCCTTCATTTGTTCCTACCAGGGGCCCAACATCCCCAAACTTCATCTCCTTTAAGGCCTGCAAAGCCCCTCTTGGAGCCCTTTTCATACACTGATACCACTGCAACATCTTTTTAACATACACGTCCACAAGTGCCCAGCCGTGCAGCCCCATTACCCTCCCTTTAACCCTGCAAGTGGGATTCTTTGATTCCTCGTTTAACAGTCCAGACAAATACCTTGGGGTTTTGGTCACAGCCGTCAGCCGGGCAATGCTAGCAGGTTGGAACAAACCCCACTTTCGAGAAATGATGCAGCGATGGGGAAAATCCCTCCTGGCCACACTGTACCTGCACGGGAGCATTTCTGGACCTGGGCTTAAGCACCAGCCTCGTCACATTCGTGTAACAGCCCCGGGCTGCGCGGGTTCACGCACAAAATCCACCACGACAGGGGTGACAGATTTTCTGGTTTTGACACAAGAGCCATGGCTCAGGGGTGGATGGGCAAGTTCAGCTTGACCCTGACACCAGAGAAATGCTTTTCATCCAGTCCCTGGTTGGGTAGCTAGACCCTCCGGTGGGTGTTTAGTCTTTATTACTTACAATTACATGCTCAATTCCTTAAATGTTCCTACCCAGACACCCTTTCTGACACAACTGACACTCACCCTTTGTTATGGGTAAAATAATCCTTTGCAGCGGATGGGAAATCTGCTGTAGCAGCACTTCTGCCACGTCCGGCTTCTCCTGGCTGCCCACGACCTCGCTGGCGTGGAACAAGGTTAGCGTTAGTGCATCATCCTCGCTGCCGGAACAAGGACAGACGGACAGAAGCCCCAGCACTCTTAAAGGCTACGTGGTATAAAGTTATTTCTTGCTTTTCAATGGGTTAAACAAAATCTCTAATAACTCGAGGGCAAGGAAGCAACTGACACACGAAAGTACATTTCATACGAAGCAAAGCTTTTTTAAGAGGAGGAGGTCAGTGTAGTCAAACCTGAGCTTTGAACCAGATGCCCAACCAGCAAAAAATATAAATTATACAGAGAAAACTTATAGAAGAAAAGAACATGACAAAAAAAATCACTCACTTCCACAAAATGATGCAACTTTAGACCATTTTAAGTTTTCAAAGCAGCCAGCTTGGGGGAGGATGCCAGAGATCCCCATGTACTTTGGAGGACACATGGATCGTTGGCTGGTCCCAGGAGAATAGTACTTTTGGGTCTTGTACAAAGGTACAACAAATCTGACCGCTGAGGTAACACAGCCCCTTGACACTGAAGAGAAACACGGGAAAAAATGAAAACTCCAGGTATAGGACGGGGAGTAACCGGGGAGTCCCATTGATGAGTTCCCCTGAACTCCACGTGAGCTGCCAGGACCGACCTGGTGTCCTGGAGAAAGAAGAAGAATGGGAGAAGGAGATGGTATTTTGGAGTGACTTTTTATAAAGGTTGAGCTTCATCTCCTGCCTGGAAGCCTTCTTAGGCGGCTGGATGGCATTTCCACGGGCACCTGAAAGAACGAAAATCACGGTGCGAAATTAATCTAATGGCCTTTTTGTAGAAATGTGATAAAGGAGCAAATTAAGTTGGGAAATGTGGGACTTGATTCAGCGAAGAATCATTTCCACTCACTTTGGGAAGGAGGACTCCTTTCCGTTTCTTTTGCTCCAAGTTTGACAGATGTGCTTTTCTCTAGGGTATAAAGAATAAGTATTGTTAGGAGCACTACGCCTTTCTTGCACAGACCGTTCGTTCCTTACTGACTTCAGCAGCACTGCATTTTTTCTTTTTAAAATTAGAATATGACTTACACTCTACATGTCCTGTACTAAGCAATCACAACATGTTAAGCTGGTGCATACTAAATACTGACCTCCTAATAAATACTAAACTCAGATGAAATCACCTGTGCATTCAGGCGCAGCTCCGCTCCAGACTCCGTTTGTTTTGTCCATACTCGTACAACGGATGCTCACATTTCCAACTAGTTGGAAGCCAGAGTCACAGCTGTAAGTCACTGTTGAGTTATAAGCAAATTTTTCTATACCTTCACTATCGTGCTTTCCGTTGCTAATTTGAGGAGGTGAAGAGCAGGTAATTACTGCAGGAAAGAAGGTCAACATGAGTATTGCAAAAAGCTTCAGTAATAATGAAAATGCAAAATGTTTCCGGAGTCCACCTAAGATTCTTGAAGACAATAAACCTTTTGGACAACTGCAGATGGGTAACTAGCACTGCCTTCTGTCTCGATCATCTCTCTTTTCTTTCTGAAGCATTTCTGTTGTCACATCTTTCTCCCTCTCACTCCAAGGGTCACAAAAATAAACAGGCCACTTGCCGTGCCCTGGCTTGTGATTCCTCAAAACCTCTTCCCATCGTCATCACTGCAGCCTTAACTCACGAGAAAAGATGTTGATCTTGTGGGAGCAAAACTGCTGAAATACAGTGCCAGCAGCAAAACGGGTGTTTCTCAGCTGCAGGGTTGGTGGCAGATCTGCCACATAATATCAACAAAAACAAATGAGGTACAGAGACAGATTTAGACTAGACGTTAGTGTGCAGGATCTGCTGGAGAGAAGTCAAAAGTAAGGTTGGATTAATCTTACGTTCGCAAGTTGGAAGTTTACTCCATTCAACATCGTTTCCTTTAAGCTGACAGTGGATGAAATTACTCCCATCTAATTTGTACCTAAGCGAAAATACACAAGAAAAAAAAAATGTGTAACTATTCAGAAACTGAGAACAATTTTTTTCCCCCAGTACCAGTATGATCAGGAGTGTAGAAAAGGCAGTTTTAAAACAAGCAGATGTGCAGATACAAGCTGGTTAACAGGAGACCTCCTTCGCCTTGCTCTCTGCCGGAATCCTTGTTAATCTATTTTTAAGCAATTCTCTCCTTTGACTCACTGCAGAGCGCATAGCGCATCGCAAGGATGGGAGAAGTCGTAGCTGGCGGCCAGCAGAGCATGCAGGGAATGCCAGACAGCGCAGAGGTTAGGTGTAGCTTCCCACATGGATGCATCAGGCTCGGATTTGCTGAATCAGGGACTATTTCTCCCTGCCTGCTTCCTGATGGAGAGCAGTGCTGGGATTCAGGCTGCTGGCATCCAGCACCTTTCCCACGCTGTTGTCACCCTCCGGGACGAGGTGAGGAGCTCCCTCCTGAGCACACACAGCATAGAATAGTATCACAGAATGGTTGGGGTTGGAAGGGGCCTTAAAGATCATCTGGTTCCAACCCCCCTGCCATGGGCAGGGACACCTTCCACTAGACCAGGCTGCTCAAAGCCCCGTCCAACCTGGCCTTGAACACTGCCAGGGATGGGGCATCCACAACTTCTCTAAAGCATCTCTACAGGCTGTGGCTCAGCCCGAGTGCTGCTCCGCTGCCCGGCGGTTCTGCGTGCCCGAGGTCAGTTAGCTGGATCTGCTGCAAACCTCAGTGCTGGCGGCAGAGGGTAGGGCACCCAGCCACCTTCAGTGCCACCTTCTCCCTAGGACGTTGCTTTCGGGTTGTAAGGGTGTAGCTGTTTTGCTAAAGTTTTGCCAGAAAAGCCAATGACAGCAGACTGCTGGTGTATGTTCTCGGCTGGTCTCTGCGAATATTCCAGTGCATCCCCTACACACAGCAGGGACCAGGGAGGGGCAAGAGGGATCTACATTTCATTCAAGTGCCTTTCAGGTTGGCTTGCTGGAAGTTAATACATCTTGTTCTGACAGCACCAACACCTTCCCCAATCTCTGAATTGCATCCTCCCGTTCAAAAAAATTCATCATTTGGACATGATAGATAGTATCTGATCTCGCTTAGATGGATAACGTTATCCCTCCACCCTGATGTGTATTGCCGAAGATTAACTGAACCCCAGAAGGGTGGGAGATGCTGTCCTTTCCCCAAAGTCCATCCTAAGGGAATATCTGAGGAAAAAAAAGCTCTGTTACCCATGAAGCAGGCGCAAAGGCTGACAGAAGAAGCCAGATGATGCCAGCTAGCTCCGGACAGGGAGGGAGGAATACTAGCTGGAGTCTTAAGAGCTTAATTTTGCAAGTCAATCTACTGCATATGTGCCCTGATTGAAAGCAGGCAGAAAGAGTGAGTCAGCTCATTGACTGATGGAAAGTGTGCTTCATTGCAGTTTTCTAGCTGAACATCACTGAATTTTTAAAATTCAAGCATAACCCCTTTTTATTCAATATATCTCAAATATGTTAAATTGAAATATTTTAAGTAACCTGTTTTGAAGTCTATAGTTATAAACCGATGGTACAACCAGCTCTGTTGGCATAGATACCCTGGGGCAGTTAAATTTCCTCTGGATGACACTTGAATTCAGACCCCAGTCCCTTCCCTCCAGCTGTGTCTTATTCCTTCCCAGCCCAAAGCTGTAATTCAAGTGGAAAAAGCAGCCCCATGCTCTGCACTGGGAGCAACACCGTAGGAGCGCTGTATTCTGAAACAGCAGCCCAGCCCGTGCCTGCAAGTTCACTGCACTGGACCAGAGTTTGTATTCCAGCTTCAGCACTGGTGTACTGGAGCTTGGGGCATTGCCCTGCGACTCACCCGTCTTCGCAGAACACGTTCACTCTTGCACCGAACTGGAAATCTGTGAGAACGACCATCCTGCCCCCGGGCAGCGCTCCCGGGTCGCCACAGGATTTCCCTGCCAGAGAACGAGGCCAGTGTTAGTGGTGACACACAGTGATGGAGAAATAAAAAAGGCTGAGTAAGGGACAGACTTAGAGGGTTATACCCTAAGGTACCAAAGCATTTCGCTTCCCATGTGTGACAGCCGAGCTGGCAGGTGCCAGAATCAGCTGTAGGTGACAGCGCGGATCCCTGTAAGGGCTCCATGCTCACAGCGTTATCTCGCAGGAGGGCAGAGGAGAATATTTGCAGAGGTATTTCCGTCTCAATAGATTGGCAGTAAGTTACTCGACTGGGAAAAACGTATTGCTGCCATGTCATCAGTCTTGATATTACATGGATTTCACCAAGAAACATGCTTTGTCTTCATTTTGAAGTTCAATGCTATAATTGCAAATTGGCATTCGCCCTGTGCCTATGCCGTGTCCAGATGCAAACTATTTCCTAACATGAAAATCAAAACAGATCTGTTCATGCCAGCAGAAAAAAAAGCACACTATTGATACTCCTGCTGTTCACTTAAATATGAATGTCAAGGAATAGCCACCTAATTTTGTATGAAGCGTGCAGCTGTTGGGACGGTAACAACCCAGCTGCGTTTCAGCACACGGGTTGAGAGCAGCTACCTGACCTGCTCCGAACAACACAGCCGCTTTTCGGCAAGCGGAGCGGAGCAGAGATACTCACTCCTGCACAGCTCAGCGGCTTCCGACCACGCCAGGTTTTCAAGGCAAGTGCTGGTGGGGGAACTTTCCGAGGTGTTTTCGTAGCCGGGGCGGCAGACGTAGCTCACGTTGGTCCCAACAGGAAAAAAATTAATCCTCTCGTCCGCCTTGGACAGGGCAGCAAACCGCAACCTTGTCGGGGCAGCACAGCTCCCTGGCAGTCAAGGAAAGTGGGCCTGAAAGAGCCGCCCGCCGGGAGGCATGCAAAATAAACCTTGGAATCACAGAAATGCTCTCACTGCGGTGCTTTTGGAAAGCTCCTCACATTCATCGCAGATTACTTCTGTTTTCATACCAGGCTGCTACTCTGCTGAGAGCATCTTTTGCAAAGCGCAGATGAAGATGCAGTAAGTGCACAGGCAAAGCTGTTAGTGGGAGATAAGCAGTCACACGCAGGTGCCGTGGGGCAGTGCACGCCGCGGCCGCTTGCACAGCTTCTGCCAGACAGGGCTCAGGAGGTGCGTGAGCATCCAGGGCTCCAGCCACCGGCCGACTTACCCCCGCAGCGATGGGCACCGATCCTGCGACCATCAGCAGCTCTGATGAACAGCAGCTAAGGGAAGCGGGTTTGTACCTTGCCAGGATGGCTGGTACCATTGCAGAGCAGCCGCTGTAATGGGCAGAAACTTTAAGCCAAGCGAGAGACAGGCGAAGGAGCTGTGTTTCAGAGAAAGGAGGTATTTACGGCCGCAGGGCTCGGGCAGCTTTGACCAGCGTGCGCCGGGCAGGCATTCCACCGTGTCCGACCTCCCGGGGATTTTGATGGTGCCTTCGAGGCATGTGTATGTCACCCTGGATCCAGTGGGGAAGCTGCTGGCGTGCTCGTCGCTGGATGGTCTGGAGTAGTTCATGAGAGGTGGGGGCCCACAGTCACCTGCAGCAGGAGAAGACCTCCTCAGGTGAGGACCCAGTTCCCTGGCCCCTTCCTCAGCCCCAGTGAGCATCCCAGGAGTGCAGCTGGGCTGGCCCAGGCTTCCCCTCTGGGCAAAGGCACTGGGCAGGGCTGCATCCGTGAGAGCATCCATGAGAGCATCAAGCAATAGGTCCCCAGGCTTGGGGGTGGTGGCATCACCCTCCCCAGCCCCTGAGCAGCAAGGTGGGACCTGGGCAGGTCTTGCTGGTCCTCCTCACACATTCTTCATCCCCGTACTCACCGCGAGCCACCGGCATGCCTAGGAGCCCCAGCAAGGCCAGGAGCAGCGCGGGGTGGCCAGACCCCCGTGCCCCGGCAGGTGCCCTGCAGCTCAGGGTGCCTGGGTGCTTCCCCCGTCCTGGTTCTCCAGACTTCATTGCAGCAATTTCTGTGCTCCTCTGTCGAGCACCGTTGTTTCCAAGTGGCTGTTTTGAAGCTGGGAGGAGAGGCAGCACAGCAGACGCAGCCAAGCCTCTGGAGCCGTGGAAACCTTTCCAGAACACCCATGGAGCTAAACCCTCCTGCAGGGACCTGGAGAGCAGCCAGGGGTGGGGACAACTGTCATCCGCAGGCTTGGGTAAAGCCTCCCGGTCCTCCTGCCCCACTGTAAGGAACGGGGGAATAACTTAACCCTTTTATTTGACCCGAGACTGGCAGCGAGCACTGACTAGCACAGGTTTACCAAAACCAAATGCTACCAGAGCAGAAAAGCCCCCCACCCAGCCCCAAGCTGTATCCAGGGTAGGAAAATGCCTGCTTAGTCATTGGCTGGCAGGTAACACAACACAGATCTTCTATAAGCAGAGTAAGTGAAACAAAAAATAAAAACATCATCCTTTTTGTTTGTTAATTTTTTTCTCGATTGCCTGATTCATTTGTAATTAGGAACGGCTGTGAGCGAATACATCTGCACACTGACTAACCCTCTGAAATATCCCGTCTGACATCAGTGACTACTCACAGTTTAAGATGCACCTGGGATGTAACACCCAGTTCTTATTCATGCTTATGAGTTTCAAGCCTTGCACGCTTTCTGTTTGCAGCCCCAGGTGAGCACAACGTGGAGGAGAGCGAGGTGTCGCACCCGGAGGGTGCAGCCCTGCTCTCCTTGGGGCACAGGGAGAACTGGAGTGGGTCTGAGGGTGCCTCTCATTGCAGAGCTCCTCACTGGGACGCGGTGAAGCACAGGGCGCATTATCAAAGCATCTCTCTGTGTAAAGACGCGAGACACCATCTCTTCCCTGGGTGTTGTGCTTTAGGCTTTAGTAACATTTAAAGCAACTCTAATAACTCATAAAAGCATACATCTAGCAACAATATACCGCTGCAAATTGCTTGTGCAGGAGACGAGTGCTCGCCCTTCTCCCACTGAGCCCAGGCAGCAGCGGTGCCCTCAGCCCTGCGGCTGCCTGCCGTGCCGTGCTGTGCCCACCGCGGCTCCCCGAGCACCGACCCGGGCTGCCAGGGCTCAGCTCTCACTCGGAACAACCACTGGACCACACTGGAAATCTGCCTGATTTACAGCCAGTGTCAGAGATTACAAGACACCCATGGTTACACCCGCATCTTTATTGTAATCCTGAAGGGAAGGAGTAATTGCTGCATCACAGAGCTGCATAAACTCGTCATCATTTATTAAGCGATAAGAACAATCTTTGCTGTCTGATTCTCTACGCTTAAACTTACAACATCTGTTCTTAGCATTTGCTTGCTGGAAATAGGGACATGGAAGATGACACCACGACAGATACCTGTCAAGCACAGTGCTGGGCCAGAAACCTGTTGCCTGTTTTAAATCCAGGGATAAGGGAATGGAAGCCTTTAAAAATGCACTTCTTATATGTAACTGCCCTTAACTAGATGAATGGAAATCACGAGCTAGATAAACAGGAAATCACATAGTTAAATGCTCACTTCACTACTATTTCAAGGTAGGAGAAGTATGCCAGTGCTATGACAGGCTGAGTTTGGTATGGGCAGAGGATGCGGCATTGCGCAAATCGCCGGCTGGAAGATTACAGCAGAAGCATCTTCAGAGCGCCAGACGCTCATCTCGGCTAGCAGGTTACTTCTGTGGGCTTCAGTCCCCCTCCTCTCGGCTTAGCACAGCTTATGCTCAAAGAAGCTCAATTTAATTTCTTACTATGCTTCCTAAAATACAGTGTGAAACAACACATTTGTTCGATAGCGAATCAAGCTTGTTAGACTTAAGGAAAAGAGCAAAAACCCTCTATGCTCTAGCATCTAGCATGGCCAAAGCAGTCTCCTATACATTGGTTACTGTTTCTCTGGCTATATGCATGCAAGCATGAACCGTAAAGTCACCGAGAGCCTTCTTATAGATACTGTGACCACACGAACTGCATGTTCACCAAAGGTGATTGTTACAGGACTCACTCTTTCAAGTTTTCTAGTTCCATCTTTAGTTTTTTAATCTCCAGAAACAGTTTTTGTATTTCCAACAGAGTTCTCAGTTCTGCCATAGGCACATTGCATTCAAAGACCGTTTTAATATGAAGAATTTCTTCACATGCATCATCAGCATGACCTTCTTTCTTCTGTAAAAAAGTAAAACAAAACAAAGAAAACCCAGAAAACAGCATGTAAGGTTGCACTGCAGCAGATGGGGAGCCACCCACGCCTCAGCTCGGAGCCTAAACTTTTGTCCCGTTCACCATGCGCTGCCCCAACGCAGACTACATCCCCCATTGGTACCATAAACCAAAAGCATTTAAGAAGTTCAAGCAGTTATTTTTTGTATTAGAAATCAGGCAGTCTCCATCCAGGCACTCAGCCAGACTATGGTACTTACACACTTGGGCAGCGGTGTCCAGTTGCCGTCAGGCAAGCATGTGGCTGTCCAAGAGTCTTCCGAAGACATGTCCTCATCATCTGAAAAGTGGTATCCATGAAGGCATTCAAAAGTAACAGTCGCATTTGTTTGGTACCACATTTTACCATCTGACATGCTTTTCAGTCTTCCGTTGGCCACTTGTGGTTGCGGACACAGAACTGAAAGGAAAACCCACAGCAGAAGGCAGCTCAGCAAGAGGGTCATCGTTACGGAGGTGGGAAAGAGCCTACAACGTTTGTGAAGACTGAGTCAGTGCAGGGGAACTAAAATCTGTGCAGCTCTGAAACCAAACGTTAAAGCAAAGTTACTTCCCCAGGCCCTTCAAGAGGGAAGGGCGAGGGTCCGAACAGCCCCTGAGAGGTGTTACGTGATTGCTGTTTTCTGACAATGTCTCGGTCCAGGCATCCCCGTGCAAGAGCCTGCAGATTGACACTTGTCAGTAAAAATGCACACTGAAGAGAATGTCAATAACGATGGTGTCTCCTGACCTGTCTTAGCGCCTCATTTATACAGGACTGTCAAGAGAAATTCAGCTATTGCCTGGGGAACATCAGCTGTTTCTTCTGCAAAGAGGGGAAGGCGCTGGGGAGCCCCGAGGACAGACACAGCTACACAGTGCTGCACCCCAACCTCTCTGCACCATCACAGGGCCGCTGGCTCAGCTCCTGGCTGGTACCCACCTGGCTGGCAGGTGGGCAGGGGAGGGTGCCAGGCACCGTCAGCCAGGCACCGGCTCTCGGCATCTCCCCGCAGCACGAAGCCTTCGTCACAGGAGAACCGCACGGCCGCTCCGTAGGGAAACGTGAACCTCTGCAGAGTCATCCTTCCCCTCTCGACTGCGGGCTTGGGGCACCGAACCACTGCGGGAAGAGAGCAGAGGTGGAGCGGTGGGTTTGGCTGCTGCCCTTCCCCAGGGACAACGGGGAATGAGGTCAGGCGGGGCACAGCCGCTCTT